ATTAGAGTGATCACATATAAACACTGTGAATCATGGCCCAGCCAAGTTGACACAGTCTTAACCATCACAAGTGTCATTTAGCACATTCATAGGACAAGGACAACTAGGCATTAATGTACTTAAATTGTCAGGTACCATTGCTACCTGTAGTGAACAAGCATTAGATTGGAAGGATGTTTGAACCAAACCTGCAGAGAGCCACTCTATAGCAATATGGAAGTCAACTTTAGCTACTCTAACTATTTTGAGGGCAAGACAGTCAAAAGTCACTCCAATAAACTGTCATAACTAGTAGTTTACAAATAGGCAGCCATATGGTAGATAAAAAGGCATGTGCTTTATATTCTGACATTAATATGCAGTAACAGAGCCAACATTTTAACATTCCTCTTTCTCAGATTTCTTTACCTCACTGACAGGGCTAGACTAGAAACTTTGTTCTTGTTGTTAGCTGCCAAGGAGTCAGCACTGAGACATGGCAACCCCATGCACAACAAAAGGAAATGCTGCCCAGACCTGTGCCATTCCCATTGTCTGTTGTAGAGCAGACCATTGTGATTGATAGCATTTTCATTGGCTGAATTTTGGAAGTAGATCACCAGATCTTTCTTTTCTCAGAGCTTTCATTCTAGTCTGTCATAGTCTGGAAGCTCATAGCAACATGCAAGCTTCCACTGACAGACAGGTAGGTTACACATGGGGTGCATTCATCATAAATGGAACTCAGCTCTCTTGCACGGAAGGCAAGAATTCTACCACTGAAACACCGTTGCTCTTAAGCAATGAAAAAAATTGTCCCTTCATATTATTTCAAAGGAGACCAAGAAGGTCCTTATTTGTTGTTCTCATGATCTTATCAGTACTTATTTGAAATAGCAGATATATAATTCTAAAAACAAATACAAAAAAAAACTATCTTTGGTGCTTCTGCTTTTCACTACAGACTTAAATAAATAATAAAACATTCCTCTGTAAAATGTAAAATACTCAGTTTGGAATTTCTAAAGTTCTACACATCTCTAGGAGCCCTGGTGGTGCAGCGGTTAGAGCCATGGCTACTAACCAAAAGGTCAGTGGTTCAAATCCACCAGCTGCTCCTTGGAAACCTTATGGAGCAGCTCTGTTCTGTCCTATAGGGTCCTATGAGACGGAATTGACTCGACGGCAAGGGGTTCAGTTTTCTTTTATACATCTCTGACTTTCCAAATGATTTGAAAATAAAGTGCTGCAAAACTGTAAAGCATCATTATTCCTTTTCTTCTCTGACTCCCTGCTTTAGAAGATATTCTGTAGAATCACTTCAGTGCACCCTTGCCTTCACTGATGCCAAATCAAAGATATTATTGCAAATTTAGAGAACAATATCCCAGGTCTCTATTTCCAGGTCAGTTAACTACAGTACAGAGACTCTGCTACATATAGGCAAATGTTTAAGAGATTGATTTTAGGTTATTTTAACACTACACAATGGCTAATAGTGTCAAGAGGATAGCAATGCATAGATGTCACTACTTTTGAAAACAAAAATAGACTTTTCACTTTGTCCTGGTCCAATAATTCTATTTCTTATCAGCTTTGTTTAAAGGTTTACGTCATTTTCATCTTTATCCGTCCTGCTTAAACTTGTATTTTACTGCCTCCTGGTACCTGGCCTGACCCTCTTCATATAATATGTGCTCAAATATTGTGAACTTTATTATAGTTTGATTTTGAAAAATTGACATGCGACCTTATAAATACATATTCTCCTTGATTATAATTAAATATTCAAACTCTAAATTTAAGACATTGATTGTGAAAGGGCACTAATTTATACCACACACAGTTGCTTAAATGGACCTGTGCTCTCTATGAATGCCTAAGATCACATTCAGATTTCCTAGTGAAAAACTGTAAAGAAAATCTAATACAAAGTTTTAAAAGAAGACATTTTGAACATGATTCAAAGTCAAATGAAGAATGAAGAAAAGTGACCTCATATTAGATCTACTACTATATCTAACACCAGTATACGTTTTCATTTCCTTTCCATTTCTGAGCTACTAGTGTGAAAATTTTACCTTATGGTGTCTATTATGTTAAATAAATCTCATTTTAGTATTTCAATAAGGTGTCACTTTTATAATTATATCTTTACACTTATACTAGCAAGAATGTTTACTTTTGTTGACAGACCTGTTTTTCTTTATTCTATTTACATATATCTATATATTCTCTTTTTTCACTATTATATCCTTTTCCTTAAAAAAAAAAAAAAAATTCTTCTTCCCTTTGAGCTGTTACCATCAGTGCCCTCACCCTTTGGTACAGGTTCACTCTTTCCAGTTACCAGAAAAAAAATTATCTAAATATTTGCTTTAGTTCTTATGGAAACTCTAACAGGTCTCTGATCCCATTCCTCCTCGCTCAGATCTGCTAGACTAGGGAAAGAAGGGGTGAGTTGGAAGGGTGTTTCCCAAGTCTTACTACACGTTTGTACTAAATGAAATTAGGTGATTAACCTTTCTTCATATCAAAGATTATTAAACTCTCTGATAATTGAAGGAGCTCTGGTGGCTCAACGGTTAAGTGCTTGGCTGGTAATCGAAAAAATCAGCAGGTTTGAACCCATGAGCTGCTCTGTGGGAGAAAAGACCGAGCGATCTGTTTCTGTAAAGATGATAGCCTAGGGTACCCTGTGGGGATGTTCTACTCTGTTCTGTAGCATCACCATAAGTAGGAATCGACCTGACAGCACACAACAACGTGATTACTGAAGCTTATCTTAGTCAAAAATTCACTCCAAACAGCTGTATACACTCATTCTTTTCTTTAATTTCTAAATTAATGAAATAAATTAGCTAAACATGGTTATTTCAAACCTTGCAAGCTTTCCAGAACTCATGGAAATATACCTCTTTAAAATTTTTTAAATACTCTGACCCATTGAATACATTGCTTCTACAGCTATTAGTTAACTACCAAATCTTGACATAGTTGACCCTTCTTGGGTTCTCCAAAGCCTTTTGAGCCTCCAAACTTAAGTAAATATCCCCAAATGGCTAACATTCTACCTATCTTTCTGCTCATTCATTTTCCCCTCCTCTATATCTGAATACTTTTATTTTTAGCTTCTAGAAAGGAAAATCTTAGAGATCAGCTAGCTAGCTAAATAGACAGATATAAGAATATCTATCCTATTTTTCCCTTTTTGATATCATTGCTCATTTGATCTCTTCTATTGTTACAATTTCTTACATTGTATACAGCAAAAGACAAATTAATAGAATTAATTTCCTTGTCTAGCACATTTCGGTAAATTAACAATTAGAAAGTTATCAAGCAATAGGGAGATAAGGGCATTGGAGCAAAGGCCAAAGTGACAGTGGCAGCTGAGAGTAGCACTGGATCCCACCTGCCCTCTAAAAAGCACAGCCCAAATCTGGGTCATTATATTCAGCAGGGAGCTTTAAAACACCTTCTAACCTTGTGCACACGATGCTGAATGTCTTTTGACCTAATTTTACACACAAGAAACGCAAGGCTGCCAGGGCATGGAGGCTCTAAGTGTTGGCTCTAAGCCTTTACATTGCTGGAGGATTCCTAAAATGTTAGCTTTTTCATGAGTCTTCTCCTTCCAGGAAACAATAAATTGGTTATGTTTGCTGTCTCTTGGCTCAGAGGCCAATGTTCCTTTTATATTAGTTTTTCAGCTTATATCCAAATTGAAATATTATTTAAAGATTACTGAAGCCTAAACATCTTTAGGTCTTTCCATCACCATTGCTGCTTTGAGATTCAGCACCCAACTGAATATTTCAGCGTGGATATTTTCCTTTGCAAAGAAGTTTAATTTACTGGTATTAGTTTAGTATTTGCAAACTCCTGTCTGTGCTAAACCTAATCTTAGCAAAGCTTAGCAAAGCTCCAGGGCCTTTTGGTTCCAGAGGCTGATCTTCACAATACAATCTCTTATTTCCCTCTTACCAGAAATGCTGAGAACACACAACTGTTTCAACAAGGCAACTACTGATTTGATAATCAGGCCCTAATTTTCCATCCTCTCCTCATCTCACACCATGGTCGAGGGTTCAGCCAACATGAACCACATGCCATTTCTAAAAGAATATTACAGCAAACAAACCACAACCCATGCTATCTATTCTCACTACTCTCACAATATTTCATAATATCTCCCCTTTTTCTATCAGGAAGACAGTTATAAAACTCTTTCTTATATTGAAGAGTTAGTAAAATATTTCTAATGAATCTAAGCCAAGATGCACTGAGCAACAGATTTTATGCCCCCTAACTCCCGTTTAACATTTGGCCCTGTATCATATTTATTCCTGTGTCTAACTCTTCTCTCCACTAGAGGGCAAGTGACATGGCCTATTAGTTAATTTATTCTCCGGAGCTATAGCTAATACTTTAGATTAAACCTCATTCAATAAATGTTTGTTAAATTGACAAAATTATCTGAGTGTGCTAAAGTAGAAAACGTCAACATAGTAGATTAGACAATAAGAGCTTCAAAACCAGTCATTTTCCGGTTCACCTAAGTCTGACAAGTCCACACTAAATGTGCTGTTAATGTTTTATCATTTAAATCACATATTCCAGGGAAATAAGAGTTACTTGATCCCAGGATTTCCAAAATTAGTGTCTATTTCCCTTTCCACTGCTCTAAGTATGCACGTAAAAAATTCCTAATTATTAATATCCTCCCTGCCTCTCCCAAGCTCATTCACTCAACTATTTATTTATTTTCATGATCCAGTTTATTTCCATTGTGGAAGGGAATAAAGTACATGTATAAACATATACATGCTTTGTGATTTCAGTGAGAAAAAGAAATGTTAATCTTATTATCGACCCATTACATAGTCTTTCAACTGACAAAATGGAAAATATAGGCTAGGATTATGATTTTTTTTTAACCTTTAAAACTTTTATTTAAAGGAAATGAGCTGAAATTCTCAATAAAACATCACCGTTATGTTATAATTCATTTACAGTACCTGTATATGCAAATTGGACAAGGTCCCAGAGGGCATTGGGGTCTATGCCTTCCATCTTGATCTCTTCTTGCTTGGCTTCACATACATCACTTGTAAACATGGCCGCAAAGTAGTCGGAGACTGAACTCAGAACCAGCCTGAAAGAGTCACAGGATCTAATTTAGGCCATGAATGTAATAATAAAAATTACAAGTATCAGTCAGAATGCAGTAGAGAAGACAAAACCAATCAATCAGTCAGTATATTTATTTATGTATTGCCTTATGGATTTTACTTTTAAAAACTGATTTAGGAAGCTCTGTTACATTCTTTGGTCTCAAAACCTTCTCCTAAGTTTTCTGCTATAATTTTTAATGCTTTTCCTTTCCCACTTAGGATTCAATTTTATTTTTATCTACATAATGACCCACTTTTTACAGTACTATCGACTAAAGAATCTGATTTTTCTCAATTAATTATGGAGCTACGTTTATCATGTACTTGAGTCCTGAGGGTGTATTAACATATCTTTGAGATATCTATAATTTTTTTTGTTTATTGTATTTGCCTGTTTTTGTGCCAATACAATATTCTTTTTTATGTGATTCTAAATATGTCTTTATAATCAATGAGGCATTTTTTTTTTAATTTAACTAATAGACTTTTAATAGACTTTTACTCTTTTAAATACACTTTAGAGTAAGTAAGTTATCTAAGATAATTCAAGTATAATTTAATGGGAGTACACTGTTTTTCTGATTTAATTGGTGGAGGATCAACGCATTTGTTATAGAAAGCCATTCTAAGAGTATTATGGAATTTCTCTTCATTTTTTTCAGGTTAGCTTTTCTATCCTTTACTAGAATTTAAAAATTTTTCCCATAATTGCCTTGTGTATTCTTGGTTTATTTACATTATAGTTTTGTTATTGTTGTGTATAGTATCTTTTTTTAAAATTTCCTCCTTTAAGTCTATTTTCTTCTTGTTTTTTTTGTTGGTTTAGAATTCATTGGTGAGACTGTCATTGGTCCAACTTATATCTAGCATATCTGTAGAATGATTTTACTTGTTCTACTAATTTGCCTTTTTATTCTTCTGTTTTCCCCCTAGGTAGATGTTTATATCATCTATAAATAATCTCACATTCATCTGTTGCTACACTGCTACATCACCATTTCCTACAACTCTTTTTCTTTCCTTCCTTTATAGCTTCATCTAGGACCTCCAGTGCTGTGTCAATAAGTAGTTGTATTAAGGAGGCATATTTATGTTTTTCTCTATCTTAAAAGGAACAGATCTAAAGTTTCTCCATTCAGTATGATGCTTACTGAGTATATTTGGTATATAAGCTCTATCAAATCAGGAAGACATCTTTAAATTTTAACTTTGCTAAATATTATATAAATGTTAAAATTCATAAGAGTTTTTTTTTTCCTGGATCCAATTTTTGTATCAAAACATGTATTAGAGATTTGTTATTTATCTTTAGAATTTTTGCATCTACAGTGGTAATAGAAATGAACCTATAATTCTCTTTTCTTTTCTTTCCCTTATCTCGTTTTTTAATCAAGATTATACTAGCTTCATAAAATGCACTTGAAGCTTCAACTCTTTTTAATTTTGTGTACCAACTTGCAGAAGAAAGTAAATAATATTTTCTTTAAAATGTTGCAGAACTTACCAGAAAAAAATCTATTATTTGGAGGAAGGGTTGTCTTTCAGTATCATATCAATTAATTAATAACGAGGCTTATTCATGTGCTCTAAGTCTTCTTGTACAAATTTTTACATTTCATATATTTTTAAGAATTTATTTCAAGTTCTAAAATTCACGAATTTATATTGCTATAAAACTTACAATTTTAAATCTCTGTTGAGTTTATAGTTATTTCTCATGAGGTGTTTCACTTGTGCTTTCCTTCCCTCATCTTTTTTTCTTTTTCCCTGATCAATCATGCCAGTGGTCTATTAACTGATCTTTTCAAAGAAATAGCATTTGGTTAAAAATATAATCCATTTTATTAAATTATGTGTCCATTTATATTATCTCACACTTCTCCGATTCCTTGGGTATGTTTTCTTTTGTGCAATGTTTTGCTCAGAAGCTTTAGCTCAGTCGTTTTTAAACTTTCTCTTTTTTTGATATATGCATAAAAATACAAAATTCTTTCTAAGTACTATTTTAGCTGTGTTCCACAAATGTTTATATGTGCAATTTTCTTTAACATTCATTTATTTACATCACTTACTTTTATTTATTAATTTATTTTTAATCAAGTTTAATTCAAAAAATAATTTGGGTAAAGGTTTGGGGTGTAAGTCAATCTCATGTTACTAATTTCTAATTTTATTGCATTATAGTCACAAAATATGTTCTTTCAGATAAAGATTCTTTAAATCCACTGAGGTTTTCCCTATGGCATAATATATGGGCTATTCTGCAAAAGTTTGATATGAAAATTATGCATAGTCTCTAACTGATGTATATAAAGGTCTAAATAAATTTAATAGCTCAAGCTATTTAATCACATTGTTTTTGATCAAGGTCTCCTTAAAAGGTGCGTACTTTAGCATACACTCATGTCCTTTTGCGCTTCTCCTCTCTCTATTCCTTTTTCATATTAATATTGTTTTACCTTTTATTTCTAGGACATTAAGGTCATATTTCTCTTTTTATCCCTCATCTTTTTTTCTTATCCAAGATAACAATAACAATTGTCATGATTATCTCTTACCTCTATTGCAACATCTCCTTTATTTCTAACTCATATTTAATTTTTTTCATAAGTATTTTAATGAGAGTCTTTGTAATTCAAACCTCTTTTGGTCTCATCGGTCTGAGAGTATTTTACTTTCACATTTAAAAGAAAATTTGGTTGAATATAGAAGCTTTTTTTATTATTATTTTTATTATTTTATTTATGTATTTATTTATTGTACTTCAGGTGAAGGCTTATGGAACAAATAGTTTCTCATGAAACAGTAGCACACATATTGTTTTATGACACTGGTTAACAACGCCACAACATGTCAACCCTCCAACTTCTCAACCTTTTTTTTTGGTGAAAATACACATAGCCAAAGATAAACCATTTCACAAATTTCTACATGCCCAGTTCAGTGACATTGACTACACTCTTCGGACTGTGCTGTTATTCTCACTTAAGATGAAGGCTTGCAGAACAAAATAGTTTCTCATTTAACAGTTACTACACGTTTCCCTATGACAATGGTTAACAACCTCACATCAACACTATCCTTACTCAACCTTGGGTTCCCTATCACCGGCTTCCTTGTCCCCTTCTGTCTTCTGGCCTTTGTCACTGGACTACTGTACCTCATTAGTCTCATTTGGTTTTACGGGGCTGTCCACTCCCAGGCTGAACGGTGAACTGTGGAGATAACTTCACCACTGAGCTAAAAGGTTGTCTTTGTCTATACTCTCGAGGTTTCTCCAGTCTCCTTTAGGCCAGTAAATCTGGTCTTTTTTTGTGAGTTGGAATTATATTCTACATCCTTCTCCAGCTCTGTCCAGGACCCTCTGTTGTGATCCTGGTCAGAGCAGTCAGTGGTGGTAGCCAGGCACCATCTAGCTGTACTGGACTCAGTCTGGTGGAGGCCTTGGTAGCTGTGGACAATTAGTCCTTCGGACTAATTTTTTCCTTGTATCCTATTCCCTTCATTCTCCCTTGCTCCCGAAGGGATGAGACCAGTGGAATATCTGAGATGGCCCCTCACAGGCTTTTAAGACCCCAGACACTACTCGCTAAGGTAGAATGTAGAGCATTGTCTTTATAAGCTGTGTCATGCCAATTGAGCTAGATGTTCCCCGAGACCATGGTCCCCACAGCCCTCCATCCAGCATGAATATAGAAGTTTTGACTCCTAGTCGGCTTGTAAACATTATTCCATTACGTTCTTGCATTCAGGACTGCTTGGAGATACCTGATATCAATCTGATTCTTGCCCTTCTTGGTAAAAAAAAAAAAAAAAAAAAGTACGCAAGACCTGGAGATAAGGCAAGGGGAGATTATTTCTAGAAAAGGAGAAGGATTAAGAAAAAAGGAAGCAAGAAAGAAAACTGTAGGATCTTGAAAAATAACACAGAACCAATAACCACCACCACCATGAAGAACAACAAATTATCCAGTAGAGAAAGCGTACTTCATTACATGAACACGAAGAGAAAGATCCTGAACTAGAAATCTTGCAATTGTTGTTGTTCTTAGTTGTTGTTGCGTCAATTCCAACTCATGGTGATCCCACATGTGCAGAGTAGAACTGCTCCATAGGGTTTTCAAGGCTGTGACCATTTGGAATCAGATCACCACACCTGTCTTCTGAGGCCCTCTGGGTTGGTTCGAACTGCTAACATTTCAGCTAGTAGTTGAGGGCTTAACTGTTCATATCACCCAGGGACTCCAAAATCTTGTAAACTATCCCAAAACATCTAGCTATCTCAACAAAATATATAAAGGTGTCTTTATTTTCTCCTGTTTCCATTGCTGACAAGTCGATTCCAACTCATAGTGACCTTATATGACAGAGTAAACCCACCTCATAGAGTTTCCAAGTCTGTAAATCTTTACAAAAGCTGACTGCCACATCTTTTTCCTGAAGAGCAGCTGGTGAACTGCTGACTTTTTGGTTAGTATCTGAGTGCTTAACCACTGCTCCAAAAATTACTCCCTAAAACTAACCATATATTAGAAGAAATAAAAAACACAACTTTCCAAAAAAATTAAATATTCACTAATACCTAAAAGCTGTTGCTTTTTGGTTAAGACCTATATGCTGTTGAGATTACTGGATAGCTATTTGGAAAAGGATTAAATCAGATCTACATGTCACAATGTACAGAAGAATAAACTCCAAATGGATATAGAGCAAGAAATGATCAAAATCCAGATATAATAAAAGATTGGTGAATTTGACTACATAAAAATCAAAACTTTTTGCATGTCAGAAAATACTATATGGTCAGTCAAAAGTGAAAATATTCCCAAAATATATTACAAATAAAAAGCTAATATCACTAATACACTCTTAAACATGACACTTTTCTGAGTTTAATATATAGTATAATCATAACTTTTGTAACCATATTAATATTTTCATATTTAAAAATATCTACTCAAAAATATTTTGGATAAAATAC